ATTTAATATATTAATTATAATAAATAATATTTTTTTTAATTTAAAACTAAAAAATACGTTTTCTCTTCTAAAAGTTTCTTTCCAAACATACTTTAAATGAAAGTTATTAATCCTCAGCAACATACATAACTTATAACTTTTCATCGCCCTAGGTCAACAATATGTTACCTAGAGTAATTTCTAATACAAGTATATTTATAACAAAAACAAACTTGGTTGATGTATATCTATTATGAGTTTTTTAGTTTTCAATTCAAAATAAATAGTTCTACTATATAAAGAAAGATCTTTTCACTATATAAGTTTAAAAATTCTTACACTCAATTTGAATCTTTTATTTAACTTATATTTAATGATAAGTGAAATAATAAATTATAATCTGTTAAATATAAGTTAAATAAAAGATTCAGATCGAGTAAAATTTTTTTTAAACTTATACTAGTATAAAAAGATTTTATTCCATATTATATATATATATATATATATATATATATATAAATTCTTCTTGTATTTAATATTATCACAGATTATTTAGATAAAATTTAAATTTTATTTGAACAACAACATTACTTAAAAAATTAAGTCTAAATTTTGTCCTAACGGGAGACATAAGTACCTAACATTGGTTGCATTTTTCTTTCATTAGTCTATTCAGCATAAGTACGTGGATGGCTGTGTTGTACAAAACCGTGACATAATAACCACAAATTAGGTCAAGAAGACCACCTTTATGCTTGGTAGAGGGTAGGTTATTTCTACCGAAAAGGTTTCCTAGCTAGCTATATATATTCTCTCATTCCCTGGCACCCGATGACGTGGTTCTATAAGTTTGCTTGGTTATGGTATTTAAATTATTAAAAATCAATATTACATGTAGTATTATATATATTAATATTTTCATTATTTAATCTTTTTTAAAATTCTTCTCTATATGCACACCTAAAAAACATATTTTAGCTATAAAAAGGATATTCAGAGATATTTTATTTTAGTAGTACATACAACATTTTTCCAAATCAAACCAAGTATTTGTCACCTTGGGATGTCCTTTTACACTTGGGATTAGAGAGGAAACCTTTAGATTTCACACTGAAAAGAGGTTGGTCTCCCTGTCTCTCTCATGGCTTTCTTAAATTGGCTATATATGACCTTAACGAGGGATTTAATTAGATGCATTGGGTGCGCGGCCCATAAGCAATATATTTCTACTATATTCCTTTAGGTGGCACCTTATATATATAACATATTTTGACCAACTTACTGCACATTGTGGAAATATATGCATATGCATGATATCATTGTTAAGGGAGTGGCCGAAGTAATATATACCTTCCGCCACCACTAAATGTGTCGACCTATTATTTGGCATGTTGGTCTTTGTTTTTTCATTTTTGTGTCTAATGTTCTTGATCATCTTTATTATTCTCTTGTATATTAAGACATAACAATCCAAAGAATCGAAGTTCAACGTTGACGAGTATAATCATTATGATAAGCGTCTAGGCATACCTAGTGTAGTGCGCATCAAATCAACAACATAGTCGCCTCGATGTTTATATATGTGTGTGACCAGGTTCTGGAAGCTTCTACTGTTATAGTAAAACCTAAGTAAGTAGGATAAGAGAAGCTTCAAAATTACCTGAGTTTGAGAAATACTTGTCCCCTACTTACTTTCCGCAAGAAGCGTAATAGTCAAATTTTCTCGGTGAAGAAGTTTTGTCAGTTTTATTAATTGGTCATAGCTGGAAAATGCGACTGTATTTTGAGATTAATAAGAAAACAATAATAATGAATTCACTTACACTTACCCTCCTCAGTCATATTTAACTATGTCTGTTGTTTTATTCAGTTGCAAGAAAAGTTCAGGCCTGGCATTACTTTCTTTGAATTAATATTGGTGGATATAATTAGGCATAAGAGCAAGTTTAGTGGGGTTGCTTCCCCGGTCCTTGTCTCAGTAGTACAGCTTTATTGCACAATGCTATTTTCACGTATACTATATTGTTATTTTGGGTGAGATGGAGACAAACAAAGAGAAAAAGCAAATATTAAAGATAAAGTTGCCCTAACCCACCATTAATTCAACCTTAGCACCAGGTGAAGCTTTAGTACAAAACTAAGCAACAGCCGACCTGGCTAGATTTTATATTAGTCAATAGGGAGGGTATACGATTAAGTCCAACGATTCAACAAAAAGCGACTAGCAAGTACTGTAAATTATTTTTTGAATTCACCTAGCTATATGTTTGCCTATATTGTTGTCCTGATAATTAATTTTAGATGTAGATTATATGTTAAATGATATATTTATCTAAATTATAGCTTTAGCACTGATAGTGTCTAACCATTACTTCTCGCACCATCCTATTTCCCCCCACCTATACTTCCAAGCATTTTTTTAGGGAGTATAAATTTTAGTATAAAATAATGGTATCCATTATAATGGGTGGTTGGTTATGGTACATGCCTAGTTTTTAAAATAAGATTTCAAATTTAACTTTATTTTTAGAAAAATTCTTCAATGAAAGACTTGTTCTTACCAAATTATGAATATTCTTAACTTATATTGCCTTTCCTAGAAAATATAAAGGTATACACATATTAATTTAGTTCAATTTTATTTTAAAACTCAAGTATATGAATAAGTCAAACCACCTTAATTAGTTTGGTTTGGGTTGACTCCAATGATGTGATCTTAAACTCCCAAAAAAAAAAGTAGTACGTCAATCTAAAGCATGAAAAAGAATAACTCGAAAACTATGGTTATCTCAAAAGTATAGTGAAATATAATTGAAAATTAACAATTAACTTTTGAAGTTATTTATATATAAAAAGTCCTATATACAATGGCATTTCACAAAAATTTAGGTAGGCAACTTCCTACAATACTCCAATAAAGATTGTTGAAGTATAAAGATGACACTTGGCCGATTGAACCATCTTATTGAAGTCTCAAATACATAAAAATGATAATTATAATTGTGGGTGCATTTAAAAGTTCTATCAACTAAATGGAGTTTAAAATACATGAAAATTATAGTCGTTTGAGTGTATGTTTAAATTAGAAGTTTTTACAAGAAAATTAATAAAAATAAATACTTGTTTTAAAATAAGTTGAAGTAAACACAAATCGAGTAAAATCATCCTGCTGTTAAATATGTAGAAAAATATTTAACTATGTGCCACAATGTACTGTTAGCCTACTCGATTGTTGAATTCAACTCTAGTGAGGTAGGTAAGTGGAAAGTGTTAGGGAATAAATTATAACTGAATATGAGAATGCTGACTTCTTTTTCTTTCTCCCCTTCTTTATATTGTGCATATATGATTCGATTAAATGTTTCCTTAGGGTTTAGGCAATGAATTTTCAGAACGTGGGTTTGGGATGTTAGGCTTTCACTCATCACGACTATAGTGCGATGGGTATGGCCGAAAGGTAGCTAGACACTGTTTCCATAAGCATTAATAAAGTAAGTTGCTGCAGGTCTTAACCTTATTTCTTTCATTTTAAAATAATTAAACATATATATGGTAAGCCTGATCTCAGTTTTTAATCAAAAGTCATGCATTAATATGTTTGCATATTTGGTCTGTTTATGTTAGATATCTAAAATTAGTCTTATAAGCATTCTCTTGGCCAGCACATACGCGTGGGTTTGTGAAATGTTGGCTCATTCCTTCCGTAACTCACAGGTAGCTCTAACTAGTTAATTAGCAAGACATAACTATTCTTTCTTGCAGCAAAAGAAAACTCCCTCCCGGTTATGAGGAGAAACTATATATTGATGCTTGTTTAGGTCTCCCAATGCACTTTCTGATGCTATTAGCGTTTCAGATATATCGTTCCCAAGCCGGCCAAAGTCTATTATTAAATACCAAAGTTTATTGAGACAATTCTAACGTTTGAGCAATGAGAATAAAATCAGCTCGTAGCTTCTTAAAGTTATTGTCTTTGGATATATATATATATATATATATATATATATATCGTGGACAACTCATACGAGAGGCTACTAAAAACACGTTTATATGTTAAAAATCTGAGGCTTTATTTTTAAATGTAAAATACATCTTTTAATATTTTCATATTTTTAATTTCCAATAATTTCATCTTTCACGATTAAAGTGACAATAAAAGAATATAATAATAAATTAACCTCATTTATACCCAAAATTTTGAATATCCATTGAATACATAATATGAAAAAACTCAAAATGATCAAGTTATTAAATAAAATAAAACAGGAGTAAACAATTCACATTAGTGTAGTATACAAAAGCCTAGTTTAAGTAGACAATATAAAAAATCTAACAATGAGGATTGTTAGATTTGAACCAAAATCAACCAATCATATTGTTTGTATTTTTCGAAATTATAAAACACCGTCCAATTTTTGGTCAACCTGGTCGAAGAATCTGTTTGGGTTTTTGGTCAATCTGGTGGAAGAATCTTAAAGCCCTCTTGAAACTTGTCGGTGGGCTTTTGTGTTTAGAGCTAGTGCGTTTCTCAGCAACAACACAAATAAACAATCATAACCCCAACTCCAAGCCATAATTGTTGTTATGATTAGATATCGGTTACGGATTGAAAATTTGGCATCAAAAATTACGTTAGACAGCCTACATCCTCCGTGACAAAGACAAAAGCCTACATCCTCGAGAGGGTAATTATTTTTATACAGCTTTTTTTTGCCATTATATCGTTTCTTTTCTTTTTTTCAATTTCAAATTTTATTTTTTTGAAATTTAGTTTAATATGTGTTTAAATATAAATTTTAAAATCAACACAACATGATACTAATCACTTCTAAAAATTATTTTTTAAAAAAATTAAATTTTAAAAATAATTTTTGGAAGGATGGTGCAAAAATATAAGGCCCATAAAGCCTAGGCCCATTTAAAGCCTCGGCCTTTTTTTTATTGAAACTTATTTATTATTATTTTTAAGAAGACAGTTCACCCACCGCGAAAGAGTATTCAGCGTATTCCACAACTCCACAAGATTGGATGCACGCGCGTGAGAAACACGCTGTCATGAGGCAGTGACAGTTCTGATCCATCACTGTACAGTGGTAACCGGTAACCTGCTTCTTCTTCCGTTATCCCTGTCTTCGTTTCTACACACTGTGCGCACTATCACCGATTCATCATGGCAATAATTTAGACCTGCTGATAAGGCAATGAATCCTTCTCTCACTTCTTCTTCGAGCTTGTCGTCTTCATCTTCTTCTTCTCCATCCTGGTTCTCCGGAATCGTTCGCGGCGGTCGTTCCAGTAGTTTGAAAATGTCCAGTAACTCCGCCGTCGCCGTCGCCGTCGCCGCCGACACCGCCGGTCCCGTCATCCGCAAAAATCAGTTCCGAGGGGTTCTGTTCAAGTACGGTCCCAATCCTATTCAGGTCCGTTATCTTGTTGCTTTTTTCTATTTTTTCAAATCTGATTTAATTATGGATGATTCTGATTTGGAACTCATCATCTAATCGCTATTAGTAATATTGCCCTTACACTTCTACATTGTCGACCTTCGAGATCTCCAAATTTTAAAAAAATGAAAGAGGAAAAAAGAAATGAATTATTTAGTGAGTGCGCTACATAAGCTTTCATCATGCTTTTTCTCGATAGTGTTATTCCTATTGTCAATTTCATGCCCGAGTTTGTATAACTCAATCTCTGCCATTGTCTCTTCACTTATTGATTCCTCTTTTTTTTAACATTCCGAGTTTCGTGGAATGCCTTGTGATAGATTATTTTATTTGCAGGTTGCATTCAAGACTGGTGAATTCAAACGGCAGGTCATTTTTATTGGTGGATTGACTGATGGTTTTCTTGCTACTCAGTACGTTTGATAATGCAGAACTTGTTCCAAGCAATATGTGTTTCATCTTCTGGATGAGAATGAGTTTTGATCTTCCGACTATTTCAATGATAATTTTCTTTTAACTAAGTATAATCTGAAATAAAAAATTAGGCAACGTTGGCGACAGTGAATTCTTCAAGCCTATGGATATGAATTTGGTGCATGAGCGTGGTCATTGTCGCTTCAAAAAAATTTCGAGCTTCTGAATATATGTTTATAAAAATGGTTATGCTCCCTAATATTGAAAGAAATAATAAGCTAAATTACTCAAATGCATTTGGTGCTGGAACCATGTCATAGACGAAGATTCTTATTTATGCTGGTCTATATGATTGTGGCCTGCTTTCAACCCCTCTATTGTGTGTCAAATTGTCTCATTTGATTGCTCTTTCATTTTCAACTTCGGTTTGGTTTTCTACGGAAGCAGAATGGTATCTGGTCCGAGAATATCCAATGGCTTTAAAACCTAATTCTTCTCTTTTTAGGGTTAAAAGATAATATCTAGTGTGCTTATAAAAGTTTAGTGATTGCTTTGGCTTTCTTTGCTTATAATAAAATGAAATGCTGGTTTTAAGACACGCAAAAGAAATGCTTGTGAAACATCTTATTTATTATTTCCCTTTTGCCATTTCTTAGTTAGTTTCCTCTCACCATAGTAGCTTCAGAAATATCAATCTGCTAATAGCTACCGACAAGTTAATTACCTTATTTCTATTTTTCTCTATCTATTTTAGTGAGGTTTTATGAAACAAAAATTAAGTAATTTGTATACGATTGTTTCTTTTGTATATTTGGCTTAGTGACATTCTATAAAAAAAGATCTACTAAGTGTGATATATTTATGTGATTACAAATTTACAGTTAGTAAATAGTCCTTTCCATATTAAAAGGAAGAAAGAATCAAGTAACTTTTTACTATAATTATAAATCTGTCTTTGAAAGACAAAGTGCTACACTTTAAATAAATATAATTCTTTGTAAATTTCCAAATTTAGTGTTTTAACTTCTGTAGGGACAACTTTATTTTAAATAACAAAAACCAAATCCTATTCCATTAAGTCATAACTTCTTATTTTTAAATGGATATATAATTTTCACTTTTTATTTGAAGATAAAGTTTGCTAGAAGTTGGTATTGTTATATATTAATGTAATAATAGAATATCTATACCAGTCCCTGCACAATTTTTTAAAAGGTCCACATCTGGATGTGAACCTACAAGTTTCTATCTGACATCCATTTTCTTCATCTTCTTGTAGATACTTGGAACCTCTGGCAATTGCTCTGGATCTTGAGAATTGGTCATTAGTTCAATTTCTTATGTCATCTTCTTACAGTGGATATGGCACCTCCAGCTTGCAACAAGTAAAAAAAATAAATTTAAATTCCTAGTGTTGCTGGTCTCTGTGAAATGTTATAAATCTTCTATTGAACAAATTTATGCTTACTAATGTTACATATAATGAGCTCAAAATTCTGGACTTACTTTATATAACTTGAAAATGTTAAGAGTAAGCCACCATATAATGTCACTGACACACAGGAGAAGAAATTATTTAATTTAGTAGTGAAATGCCTTTTTCTTTGATATAGTGAGCTTAATGTTGCAAAAGCTTCTCCTTGCAGTGAGTAATATAAAGCTAATGTTGGTCTTGATTCTTAGTGCCTAGGTTTCTTGTATTAGAAACTTCTGTTGTTTGTTTAGTAAACCAAAACAATAAAAGAATATTTTTTTTTTTACTTTTTCATCAGATTTAGAAGTAATTTATTCTACTGTAAATTAGTGTGACTGTTGGCATTACTGTAAACAACAATATGCTCAGAATCTAGTTTTTTTGTTTGATATGAGAAATTAAGCATCCTGAGGGTCCAGGAGTGTTAAATTAGTAACTATAACCTCAAGCAACATATATGTGAAATATGTTGCCTTGATATTGTGGCCATTCTCAAGATTTAACATGTAAAAACTATATTATATGTTCATTCTCACATTTTACTGAAAGGTGCGATGTTAAAACTTCTGTTTGATTGACAAGGATAATTCTCTTGATGCTTGAGTTTGCATTCCATGTTAAATTTGTTTTGAAGGATGCTAAGGAGCTGGATCAGCTGATTAATTATTTAATAAACAAAGAAGATTCTGAAGGTGTGGCATTACTTGGGCATAGCACTGGCTGTCAGGTTATTTAATAAATCCTGAACTATACTATACTTCCACTTCTCTTCTTGCTACTGTCATTTGTTGTAAAGTTAAGTAAACTTTTCTTCTTTTTGAACATTATATCTAGGATATTGTGAATTACATGCGCACCAATTATGCTTGCTCCCGAGCTGTTCGTGCTGCCATCTTTCAGGTACTCATTGATAGTAGATCAATTTTATCTTTATTTGCATGTCTTTTGTGAAATGGTAGCTCTAGTTTAATGTCTTTTAGCTGATAGAAAAAAGTTTAATGCAATGTAATTATGCCACTTAGATTAACAACCTTATACAATTAGGGATCTTAATCCTCTAATGCCAGTCCTGATTTTAGTTGCTATCTTAACTTGCATTAGGCCATAAGGATATTTTAAAATGGTAGCAAGTCATCTGACAGTATTTTGAGCCTACAATCTGGCTGGATGCCACTGTTATTAAGTTTTAACATGGTGTTTTAGACATAATATCGCTAAAACCTAACACGTAAAAAGGAAATTACATCAATTTGTTTTTGTTAGAGTATATGGTTAGCTATACGAATGTAAAGTTTTTATCACTTCTTTTGTTTTAATTTATTTACTTATATTAAATAATTCATTTGTTGTGATATTTTTTACCTTGCAGTATTTCTAATATTTATAGAGTAAAATTCTATGGTAAAAAAATAAAAAGGTTTTTTTCTTGGTGAAAATTAATGATTTTGAGATAGAAGTGTGGTGTATACACTATACTGAGAAGTAGTCTCTTCATCAATTCAATGACTGGCCTGGTATTCAGAACCTTGCATTTAAGTGTTTGATTTGCTCGTATTAGCATACATACAGCAGTTTTATAAGGCCAGCACAATTTAAAATTTTGAAGTCTGAGGATTGGAATGTTGAATTTTGGTGTTACCTAAACCAAAAAAAAGTGGACATTTTGTCTGGTCAATATCTATATGTAATGTCATGCTATGTAGCATCTGTTTTCTCACTGATTGCTTAATTTTCTATATGAATTTAATTGCTCAGGCTCCAGTCAGTGATCGGGAATATCAAGCTACACTCCCTCATACAGCTTCTATGATTGACCTGGCTGCTAAGATGATAAGTGAAGGCCGAGGTTTAGAGTTAATGCCAAGGGAAGCAGATCCCAGTGCCCCAATAACTGCCTATAGGTGAGTGTACAGAAATTCTAGGAGCAGCACAAATTCTGAGACAAGTCTGGATATCATTAAACAGTGTCAGATATACAATTACTGCATGATTGTCAAGATGCATTGTTGGAAACTAAGATATTATTCAATTGTAGAAAAATCTTCTTTTGCTCTTCAATTATCAGTCCAAAGTGGTTGTGAGAGTAATTCTTAGGTTGGCATGGTATACAGTATACCATATAATCTTTTAATGATTATTTGAAATGTGTAAAGAAATGGTCTCCACAACCTTACACTTGTCAAATAATGATTTGAATTCCTATGTTATGGCACGCCTAACAAAGAACTACTTGTAAATATTAGTATTTTCAATTTTTAAATGCCCCTTCTAATTCCTTTTCTTTATTCTAAACGCTAAGAAATATATGATTTTCAAACGTAATTTGCATTTGTGAGTTGATCTCAAAGAATGATGATGGTAAATTCATGCATCCTTCCTTCTAGTGTGCATGTTTGTTAGGAACCCTGAAGATGATTTAGTTTTTCGGCGAGAGATGAGAAGAAAATCAGAGAAAGAATGCTTTTGTTGTGTTTGTTGAATTATGAACAAAGAATGAAGGAGATAATTCTCCTTCCAAAGGTCTTCACTCTTCCCTCCAAAAAGGACTTCCTCTTTTCTACAATTCCCAAATAACAAGTTAGAATACCCACTCTTCTACGCTCTCCTATTTAAGCTAATTTCATACCTCTCCAACTTTAACGGCCTAACTATACTAACTAACTACTCTTTGGTCTTATCAATGTCAATTGCTATGAGCCACAAATTTTACTGACAACACTGAGATTTCTCCATTTCTATTGCTGCTTTGATCACGGGCTTCCAAATATGTCAGTGCTATACTGTATATTTGTAAAATGTTTCAAGTTGTCAGTTATTGATTTTGAACTAAGCTATTATCAGATGTCAAATAGACAACTTGTCACATATTAAGTAGTCTCTGCTTTTGGAACATAATTACTCCTGTATTTTTCTTACTCCCTCCCTACCTCTCTCTCCTTATTGAAGCACTACCACATGCATGACATGTTGATGCATGAGAAATATTTACTCCTGGCTAAAGTTGATACTGCACAAAAAATGTCTTTGTTGTCTCATGCTTTCTTCTTAAAAAGCAGTTAATGTTGCAGATATCACTCCCTTTGTTCATATAATGGTGACGATGATATGTTCAGTTCTGACCTAAGTGATGATCAATTAAGGATGAGACTTGGACACATGTCTAACACCCATTGTCAGGTAAGCATGTGTATATATATATTCTCTTTTGCTATACAACCTTTGGGCTAAATAAAAACATTGGATTTTGAGACAACATGCTAGTCTTTAGAGCAGAAGTTTCCCAGCTTTTTCATTCATGTAGAGGCATCTGACATTTTGATATGTAAATTGACAAAGGAGGCACAAATTAAAAGCTAAAATGCAACTCAGATGATTGGGGAGCTGAGTAGAGGTTATGACTTACAAGTTTATGTCATGCTAGTGACTATACCAATTACCTAAACAAGAAGGCTAAATAAGTTTGTCATCATCAAATGATCAACTGTAGCTCTCAATATTGGCCTGAATGGAGCTAAGCAGTAGTGTCAATGATGTTGCCTTCGTAGTGAAACGATGTGACCTTACACTGTAAAATGTTAAGTGCTACTAATTACTAAAATAAAAGTAAATATTATTCTAATATTAGAGACAAAGACAGAAGATCTGAGAGCTGCCTAATTATTCTCAGAAGAAAAAAAAAATGGTAAGGAGGTTTGTCATCTTGGTATGCCTTGGTTTTTTGGCAGGTTATATTTTCAATGGCTGATGAATATGTTCCAGACTACGTTGATAAGAAAGCACTGGTTGAGCGGTAAAATCGCTGCTCCTATCTGGTGTCAGTTTTTTGTTATGCAATAACCACAGCTTGAAAGGATTGAGATATATGATGATTGTTTCTATGGTCACGGGGTACATTTTAAACGCATGCAGATTATGCAGAGCGATGGGAGGAGCAGAGAAGGTAGAAATCGAATATGGAAATCACTCCCTGTCTAACAGAGTTGAAGAAGCGGTCAATGCTATTATTGACTTCTTGAAAAGAGAGGGACCCAAGGGCTGGGACGATCCATGGAATTAAATGTTGATGTCTTTATCAATTTTCACTGCCTTCTTTTGTTATTATTATATTTTTTTATTCCCATATGTCAATCTTTCCAATTTCTCCGCATATTTTTTTTTTGGAGGTGCGGTTTGAATCTGTTGGGGTTGTTATTTGCAACCTTTAGTTTTTGTTGATATAGTAGATGTTAATATTTATTGTCTTGGAAAAGATAGTGTATCGGTTTTTTGAATTCATTAATTTTAACCCAAAGAAATTTTGCTACTTTTACTCAGTTCCGATGTATTTTGCCTTGTGATTTTCTTTTATCAACACCATGTGAATTGTTACCTTCCCCGGCAAATTGGGGCTGTGGGATTTACTATGAGATTGTGCGATATCCCTTGTGATCATGGTAAGGAAGTAATCAATGCAACAAGTGTATCGTGGTAAGGAAGTAATTTGCTCCCCTCTCCCACCCCAAAAAGAGAGAGAGAGAGAGAGAGGGGAACAACAGGGAACAAAGTGTGCATTTTTCTTTGCTTCCTTCTCTACATATCCTATTACCCCTAATTACTGGATTACTTTGACATGAACTATAAAATAAATACCGTGAGTATCCAAAAACCAAAATGATTTGTAGTGGTTTGGTGGAGTTGGGAACTGTGCTGTTGGCTAAATCATCTTACAAGGCGGCTTGTACTTAGAAACCAACCTCCATGATGGTAATTAAACTTCGTCATTTTCTTAGCTTGAGTGCTTGCTCTTGACAGTATGTTGTCCTCTCGTTCCCGCAGCCGGCGCCAGCTTTTTCTGCCAAAATTAATGCATGTCTGCTAGGCTCTATCTGAAAAAAACATTTACAAGAGGCAATCCTTCAAATTTTATTTAAATTGAATAATGTTTTTATAATTAATTAAGGTATGTTCTACATCGTGTGTTATGTTATACCTGAATTGGTGTATCAATATCAAATGCAAGAGTCTCTCCATATTTTTTAGGGGCTGTTTAGCAATCATTCCCAGCACTTAGCGGAACTTGTCTGATTCCATTAATGCATAGTTGCATCTAAATCCATATCACAACACCGTGACGTGTCTAATGGGAAAAGCTTTTGAGTGCATTAGTGAGTTGTGTTTTGAGGCTGCAACTTCGAGTTTACTTCGTATGCATCATTTTATATTAAAGAGAAATTGTTCGGTGCATTGCTGAGTAAGAGAATTTATTTATTTTTCTGTATGGTTGAATGTACATTATTTCGTGAGAAAAGTGATGAGTTATACCGTTGAAGTGATACATAGTATATTTTTGGCTTTTAGTTGAAAGATTCTATCAGAAAACTGATTAAAAAATAAATAAATATTAAAAACACTAAACAAATACACACCAAATTATATAACAAGATAAATTTGGTGCTTGTAAAATAATTTAGAATTCCATGGCTTTTCTTCGCAAATAAATAAATTGAGTGTTCGATGGCTTTGGTGCCATTGGTTAGCATCAAAGGTCAAAAGATGTGGAACCATCTGCTTGATTTGAAATAAATGGAAAGAGATGAGATGTTTGTAAACAGGAACTTCCTTGGGAAACATTGGAAGGTTTCTTTTCTAGAATTACATTATTTATATAATGTTTTTTTATAACGTTATACATAATCTCTTTTTGTGGTTTTTGTTCATTATATTATTCATTTCAACACGCACTTCTCTCTTTTCTCTTTCTATTTTTCTCATAGTTGTAAAAAGAATTATACAATTTTATTATATAAAAATAGTTTCTGTTATGTGTGTGTATCTGAATAGTGAAAATTGAAAATCAACGTGGATGCTAGAAATGTTACAACATAGAGAGGCGCTGGGAGCAATGCATGTGAAGATGCTAATGGCCAAGAGTGAGAAAATAAATATATGTGTAGGTTGTAATATAAATGTCTAACCCATTTATTTTTACATTTTAGGGAAATAAAGTGTTTTTTTTAATGTGTCTTTTGACTCTAACTATTATTTCAAAAACATTTACTAATATATTTTTTCAATATCACTTTCTTTTTTTCGTTTTTTTCCGTTCCACCGAACGAAGGTAGAGTTCGCCGGTTCATAATTTACATTTTACACGAAGATGGGGTGAAATTTCAATCACAGCACAATCCGACTTTGTCGTGAACCGAAGTGCCATATTATTATTATTGCTTTAAGTACGAAGAACAAAAACAAAAAACATTTGGGTGGGACAGGTGGACAGCTCACACCATCACATTCACTCCAGCTATCCTTTCCCTATTCAACAAAGAAAATGTGTTTAAGATGTTATTTAAAATTTTTTAAATATAATATTTATGAAACATATCATCAAAACACTTTTATAATTTTTAATATCTTTATTTATTAATTTAAACTGATATTCTTAAAATACTATCCGTTAACAAACATATTTAAAAAAATAATTTTATTAATTTTAACTTAAAAATTGAATATAAACAGTTAATAATAATAAAAAATTTAAAAATAAAAATTTATTATATTTTTATAATTTTAATATAATAATTATATTTTTTTATAAAATTTTTTATTTATAGATATATAAACAGTTAATAAAAAATTTTAAAAAATTCTTTTGGTAATATTCGGAATGACATAAATGCCCCCACAGACCCACCTCCGTTTCCAAAGATATAATGTGTCGGTGCGGTACACTTCAGAATTGAACGGTGAACAGTGACCTCTCTTCATGCAGCTCAGAGAAGAGTATTTTTAATCATTAGTTGTGAGATCAAGTTAAAACAAAAACATTTTCTTAAATTGAATAGGGAATTGATTAATTAACTTAATAAATATTTAGTTAAACTTTGATGAATTCTCACCGTAAAAAAATTATATTGCCATTAAATATATGTGATCATATTATTTACCAAAATTGTCAACAATGTATATTTATTTATAAAAAAAAACTGTAAATATTATTAAATGAAAACACGACTTGCTAACACTGACAATATATTTCATCTTTAAATGGTTCATTATTAAATGGGGTTTCCATTTTATTTAGAACACTTCATAATCTTCATTCGTCGCCACCTTAGGATTCCCTACTTTCATCGATATTAAAGCACGTCATTGTTGTAGCATCATATTTTAAGTATCATGTTTTATTGATTTAATCATAAAAAACATTATACATCGACAATTAAGTATTACGTTGTCTTTATTAAAATAATTTTTTATCTAGTGAAAATTAGATCATGGATATAACTATTATGAGTTTTCATTAAAGCCACCATGCACAGTGAATACAAATCATTTGACAAAGAAAAATAAATTATATTATATATAATTAAAAGTAAGCTAATGTTTATTTATTTCTGCTAGTACGTGACATCTTATATGCTGTATCTTAAAGTTTTATTTCTTGGGTCCTCCCTTATTTATTTTTTGAATCTACCCCAAGTAAAGTTATGCTCAAGTCTATCATAATTAAAGGTAGATTTTGAATACTATATAATATTTTAAACGACAATCAAGAATAATATTTAAAAAGTTAAAAAAAATATTAAAATAATAAAAAGATCGTGGGAATATTGTACAAGACAACAAGATTCGTAATAAACAATTAATACCAAATTGAAACTCATAAATGAACAGTAGCTTGTTTTAAAAATCATTATTGAATAAAAAGTTGTAAAAAAAATATGGAAAAAATATTCATATATATATATATATTATATTGCTGATTTAAACGATTTTTAAAAATTGTTTTTGGTTTAAATAATTAAATTGACGAATCCAATCTAATTTTAATAATTATGATGCAATATATTTCGTTGACGAGATTACAGCAAGTGAATAAAAAAAAATATACATTTTTAAAATGTGTTGACGATAATTCAATTCATAACAATGCATTGACAAAATATTTTGTTGAGAGATTCTGTATTTACTTTGGCAATGTCCTCTTCTTCTTTTTTTAACTCTTTAATTATTAACTAAAAGATATCTTTAATGTTTAAAAGAATATTTTCTAAAATTTTCAATTAAGTTCAATACCTTGTATTTATAATGAGTTTTTTTCGTTTTTTCAGGTTATACGCGTGACGACCTTAAATTGATAGTTTGAATTGTAAAATTAACAATAGCTATAAGATTAATGCTGAAGTTTTGAATAACTACTCGAGGTAATTTTATATACTTTTCAATTCATAACCTTCAGTTTTAAGCCCAAGGTGAAGTCAAAATCACAACAAACAACGAAGCAAGGTAAAAACAAATTGCTTCGTAAATTGTTTTCAGGTTAAATATAATTTTAAATTATTTTATAAGATGTTTTTATTTAATAATAAAAAATATTAAATAATTTTAAAATATTAAATAAATTTACTCTTTATAATTAATTTTTTATAAAATACGAAGAAGATTAATGAAAAATATTATAAGAAAACTTAAGAATGCTCACTCTTTTATATTTTAAGAAAGGCAGCGGAATACTAGATTGTGCATTTAATGTAGCATGACGAATTTATGTTAAATTAACCTTCCATGGTTGCAGGAGTTTAAGACCGAAACTACCTCGACAACCACAACCACAGTCGGATTAGTTAAGGATAAAGCAAAAAAACAACTTTCATTAGAAACGAGGAAAAGAAAATATCCACTGCTGTAAGCAAGCAAATCAAAGTTTAGGAAAAGATTAAAATAAAAAGTAAAGTTTATATAAAAAAAAAAAAAAACTTCGAGGTTTATTGAACTTCTTTTTAACTTGCATTTCTGGAATCTGCTGAACTCACCTGAGTACAATGTGAAAGACCCTTCCCTTTACTTGGTTCTTCTTCATCCTTAGAACTATCACCCTCACACTACATTGAAATTTGAAAGCACCCCTGTAACTTGTGAGTATCCCTACGATTTGTTTTCCCCTTTCTTTCATTCAAGTTTTGTTTTTATTAGTTTCCTCGAGAGAATCGACACTTGCGCGTAAAAGACCCTCTTCTGTTTTGGCGTGTTGTCGTCAAAAGATAGCTTTTTTTGCGGTGTTGGGTGGTGGATTTGTTGGTAGCTGTTCCGGGGTGGTGGCGTTTTGTGATGCCATGCCAGAGAAGGTAGCGATATCGCCACAATGGGCTCTGTGGTCCCTTCCAATACTTCATTGGCGTGTTGGGTTTCTCACTGCTTTGCTTTTGGTTGGAATGGTCGTTGTTTGGAGCATTGATGGCTGCACAGTGAAGAACGTCATTGAAGCTTGGAGGTACCATCAAGATTATCTTGCTGTAACTGTAAGGTCTCATGCCCTTAATTTCACTCTTTCCCATCAAAATTTAACTTTTGTCTCTCCATATATTCATGATAGTTTGGATCAAAACCAGTTCAATGCTGTGAACATAACCGTGTCGGAAAAATTAAGCCAAAATCCCCTTCTAGTTCATGGGCATTCAAGTTGGATTTCAAGTGCATTAGAAACCAACTTTACTTCAAATCTTATAGCTAGATGGTCAGCTCGTGGAGGTGAACCTTGTAAAGATTCAAAGACCGTGGGCATTGCAATTCCTCAGTTGGATGGTGGGAATGTGATAGAGCTATCAACTGGAGATGTACATGAATTTGGTTTTCAAGCATTGGATGATTCAGGGAAGCCTCTTTGTATAGGTGGGGACTACTATGAGACTGATCTTTTGGGGGAATCGTGGAAATCTAGGCCTTTGGTGAAAGATTTCAGTAATGGTTCTTACTCTATTTCATTGCAAGTTCATCCAGACTTTGATGGGGTTTACAATCTCACTATAGTCCTGCTTTATAGACACTTTGAAGGCCTGAAGTTCACCCCTTGGAGGTTTTCTTATGATCGAATGCTTCGGAATATTGCTATTAGATTCTCCAAAAGCAGTGTTCAGATGCCAGAACTGCAGACTTGTAAAGCTTCTGATTTTGGCAGGGATGTGTGGTATGGAAGGTGGACAAGGCATGGTAAGAATGATGACTGCCCCATAGGGAATGATGGTAGGTACAGGTGTCTCACACCGGATTTTCCTTGCAAAGCTCCTTGGTGTGATGGTTCCTTGGGAATTCTGGAGAGTAATGGTTGGGTGTACTCAACTCACTGCTCATTCAAGTTGTATTCAGCTGAGTCTGCTTGGAATTGCTTAACGAATAGATGGATTTTCTTCTGGGGTGATTCAAATCATGTTGACACAATAAGGAACATGCTCAACTTTGTTTTAGATTTGCCTGAAATACATTCTGTCCCTAGACGATTTGACATGAACTTTTCAAACCCAAAAGACTTATCTCAAACAGTTAGGATTACAAGCATCTTCAATGGGCATTGGAATGAAACGCAAAACTATCTGGGGTTGGATTCTCTGAGAGATGAAGGGTTTCAAAATTTGTTGAAAAAGTACTTCTCAGAAGACACAATCCCAGACACCGTGATCATGAACTCTGGTTTGCATGATGGTGTCCACTGGCGTAACATAAGAGCATTCTCTGTTGGAGCAAACTATGCAGCATCCTTTTGGGCAGATGTTATGAAGACAGTGAAGCAAAGGGGGTTGGCATGGCCTAGAGTCTTCTACAGGACTACAGTTGCAACTGGTGGATATGCAAGATCACTAGCATTTAATCCTAACAAGATGGAGGTGTTCAATGGCGTGTTATTAGAAAAATTGAAGCAAGCAGGCGTTGTATCCGGCGTGGTTGATAACTTTGATATGACATTTCCATGGCATTTTGATAACCGGTGTAACGATGGGGTTCACTATGGAAGGGCTCCAGCAAAGATGAAGTGGCGAGATGGCCAAATTGGGCATCAATATTTTGTGGACCTTATGTTAGCCCATGTTCTTCTCAATGCGCTGTGTGCAAGATAGGCCAGAGGAATGGTATGAGCCTAATACTTGGCCTGCAAGGTGGCATTTGAGGGAAGTGTGTGCATACTTTATAGAACAATGCACACCTTATACTTAGTCTGCAAAGGTGCTTGGTTGAAGACTATTGACTCTTGCTGTTTCTATAAAGTTAGGTATGGCATTCTTTCTTAGTGATATATATTTGTTGGCGTGAGTTATGTATAAATGAGATTGTTCCATTTGTAGATTAGCAGAGGATTTTAGCTCCTCAAAACACAGTTTACTATTGATGATCATTATCATAGTCCACAGGCTATTCTTTCTTGCATGTCTCTTGTTGGTTCGAGTTCTAATAGGTTTGTGGTTACTTAGTGACCTAAGTTGCAATTGTGCCTTGTCGATGGAAGTAGACGATTACAACTAATGTTGGCACCGAACAACTACCAAAATTCTTAATACCATGTCTTTTACACACGAGACATGCATGCATGCACCTCATTTCCATTATTGATGGCAAGCCTGCCATGGATTGCCCAAATTTTTCTTCCTTAATCCATTATTGATGGCTCACTCCAATAACTAATTACATTTAGCTACTATATATGAGACATTTTCTGTTTCCGGTACTACCCATCTCTCTATTGCAAGTGTGACTGTATGTGGTTTCAAAAGGCGAACATCCAAGCTTCTTCCTCACAACTGTCAGTAATCAAATTACAGATTTTAATTTTAGATTTAAATATATTTTGAGTCTTTAGATTTTGATGAGATTTTATTTTAGACTTTAAAGAATTGTACTTTTAGTTTTAACCTCTCTCTATATATAATTTTTTAATTCAATACTTTTGATATCTAATGGGAATGCGATTAATTCATAGGTTGATGTCTGTCAATTTTTAATATCATAAGTGTTGCATTTTAAATTATTAAAGATGAAAATAATTTGTTTAGAAACTAAAATCAAATTTTATAAAAAATAGAGTCACTAAAATTTTATTTAAACCTTAGTCTTAATTTGCTCACAAGATAGCTAACAAGAAAAAGAACAAAAGCAGCTTTATTTATTTCTCTTGGGAGGAGGTATACCCAGCGGGATAAAAATGTTGTTGTGTCTTAGCAAGAGATACTGGAGTTATTATTTATGAATAGTTTTAATTTTTTTAACATTTTATTATTATTATTTTTTATCGTACACTGTTAGATATACCTTAAAAATATACTTTAAAATATTAATGATTTCATTAAAGTTGAATATATATATATATATATATACCTTTAGTGCAATTGTGCCTTTCTTATTGGCAGTGGATGGTTACTATTTATGATGGTTTCACCCCCAATAATAATTTATCGCAATAGCTGTGTATGGTTCATGTTCTTTCTGTTTCTGACACTATTCCCACCGCCTTATCGTAATAGCTATTTATAGTCCCTCATGGTATATTTATTCTGATCAATTATCACATAATATGTAATTATATTTTGCATAAAAAATATTAAAGTTGCATTACATATCACAAGATAATTGGTTAAAACTATAAACAGATAATAATATCGAACTATTTAATAATTTATCTTCCTTTATTTTTCTCTTTGTACTGCCCTTTGCTCACGAAAATAACCAGAACAGCCCCTTACATGGATTTTGACCTTTTATTTTTACATTAATATATCCTATGGTATGAATGGATATATTAATTAAATTCTTTGATGTTTTGTCACTTGAATTCATTTGGAATAGTCTAATATATATTGAAAATTTTTCGTAACTTAAATATTTACATCATGAGTAAATAAATCCTTCATAATAGTGTTATGACATACCTCATGCTTGTGTTATTTCTTCTTATTTTCAAACAATTGGATATGAACATGACAACCCAATGGGGGCAAAGACGAGTTTCATGAGGGCGGGGATAAAAATAAAGTACCCAATCTTATCCATAGGTTTTCCTCAACTGAAGGATAAGCTTGGTTTAACGATATCTTCATAACCATTCAAAATAAAATAAAAATATAAGTGAAAAGAAAATAGAAGAAACAAAAAAGAAAAACAAAATGAGTGTATTTTTCAGTTGATTGAATTCAAAGGGAAAAAGAAAGAGAAGAATAAGGAAAAAAAAAAATCTTGCTAATTGTTAAAATTATGAAAAAAAATAATGAAAGGATAGAATAGAAAATAAATATAATAAAGTATTTTTCATACCTTCTGTAAAACATAGTTTCAATCAATATATGTTAATCACTTAAATTAAATTTTAATCTGTTAAGTGTGTCACTAATTACTTAATAATGCTTATAATTGATTACTAGACTTATCTGAGATGTGCATTTTGTTGTAGAGCATATGCTAACCGATTAAAATCAAATTTAATCTGTTAATTAATGCCAAGTTATGGAATGGTAGGGTAGAAGAACAATGTTAGAAGTGGGTCATTCACTTTTGCTATATAGCTCATTTTTAAGTCATCTTTGGAGAGATTATTTACGAGCCACGCGTTCATGTTTGATTTTTCTCCTCTTTTATTTTCATGGCTAATCCAAAGTAATAAAAATAACTTTTCCATAACTTTCCATCAATTATCCATCATGGCCTTCTCTATATTGGCAAACTCCGGTAATCCAAATAAGATGTTAAGGATATTTATACTCGTTAACATCATTAATATAATTCTTAACCAAACGCGAGTATACATTAAATACACATTATTTTACTTATATTTATATATATATATATATATATATATGAAAAAGAATTTAAGAACTTTTTATTTAAATAACGTATTATTTAAATTAAATAAAAAATTCTTGAAAGACTTACACTAATTGATATATATATTAGGTTAGACCTTGTAATTGAGAGCTAGATCATGTAAAAAAAATCATCGTATCATTTGTTAATTTCACTATTTTTAAAACGTGTTTAACTATATAATACATAATATTTTTTTATAGAAAGTTATAATTTAATATTATTTAATGTATTAAAATTTGTAAAATTTATAATTTTTAATAAAAATATTATGTAAATATTTTTATTGTACATATTTAGAAAATTATTAATTCAAAAATAATTTATTAAATTGTTATTAATTTATTTGAATTTAAATTTTTTGTCATAAAATAAGGTATTCAAAGCATGACGATCAAGAAATTAATAAGAAGCGATCATGTTTTAAGTGCAGCAAGTCACAGAAGCAAGCAGGTGCGAAAGCAGTGTTATTTCCGAAAAGTGTTCTTTGAGAGAGATGATGAAGGGACTGGTCCACCCATGACATGATCATTGAAGGGTGAAGCAAACAGCCTCGGATTTCGACTTGAGTAACCATGTCTTTAACATGGGCCTCTGCTCTCAACATCACAGTTCTGCTTCTCCTTGTTGCTGCTGCTGTTGTTGCTTGTTTTACCCTCCCAGTTGACAAGGTTCCTTTTTTATTCAATTTCACAACTTGGCTTCATGTAGTTCTCTTTTATATAAACTAATTATTTAGTTCTTTTTGTTTAAACATGAAATAGGATGGTTGCATTTTTGTTAAATTGATTCATTTCCTAGGCAATCATTTTTTTTTATCCCTTGTTATCTGCGGCTTTCTTTACTGGACATGTTCCTTCTTTCATGAAATGGGGTTTGATGGTAATTGCCTTATTACTATGATGCATTGAAAATTTTCAATTTGTATTTGCATACAGGAATTTCAACCAACGGATAATATAAGTAGCACCTTGTGTAATTTTTAGAAGAGGAGTACCATTGGAAAAAGAAGATTTTGTTTGAGTTTGGTTTTAAGTCGACATACTAATACACAATGCTATCTATCTTGTAAACTTAACGAAAAGGAGTAGAAGATAACATCTTATAAGTTATAACACAGTGAGGTAGTTTTACAAATGGGAATCCCCTCTTCCTTGTTGTTCATGTATCCAAGGCACAATGCCACTGTTATTATATACTTAATTACAAGCACCACATTTGGATTTTCATTCCCAAATATTCTGGTTTCTTTGAGATTTTGAATCTTTCCCCCCTTTTTTGCTCGTCAGTTTCTGAAGGATTTGTTGGCATGGATTGATAGTAACCTTGGGCCATGGGGTCCTCTTGCTCTGTAAGTCAGTTTTAATGCTTGACCACTATAATTTTCAGCTTGTAACTATCTCCGTTGCACTTTCACTTTCTCATAATTGTGCTTCTTTCTTTTCATGCAATTGCTTTAGTTAAGATTATCTTCAGAAGAGATGGTCATGCGCTTTCATGGTTTGATAACTTTTATATGAATCAGTGTCATGGAAAAGAATAATTATATATTTATACATAACACACAAGTGTGCATGTTATAATATCCGGATAACCACTGACTTGAATGAATTTGTGAACTCATGTTTGTGTGGTATTTTCAGGACAGCTGCTTATGTTCCTTTGACTATCTTAGCAGTTCCGGCTGCTGTTCTTACTGTAAGAATCTTTGGTACCCTGGCATACTTCAGACCTTCTTGAACTTCTTGTATGTTAATAGAATTATCAACTACCCATGTATCACTTGTGACCTGTCTGCATTGCTGCTTAGATATTTTCTTTAATAGAATTTTTTGATAGTGTGATTCTCACCATTAGGAATTTGTAATTTTTTTTTTAAGTTGTCATGGGTCATCATTTACCTGTTTAAATTCTGCAAACTGGGTGATATTTTACAATATACTATCTTTATTTTCTTTACTATAAAACATATTTGTGTTTGTAGTTTGATGAAAGTTCTAAGCACCTCCATCACTTCTTAGATGATTCACTTATAATTTCTAGCATATGGTAAAGAGTATGAGTTATATAAACAGCTCATTCATTACATTAAATCTCCATTGCAATATAACTGATGAAGAAAAAAAGTTAGTAAAGCAAGGCCAGAAATGATTTTGTTTAGTCATCTCACCTGATACTTCTTGTTCAGCTTGGTGGTGGTTATCTATTTGGCCTTGTAGTTGGCTTTGTTGCTGACTCTATTGGTTCAACTATTGGTGCCGTAGCTGCATTTCTTCTTGGTAGAACAGTAAGTTTATCCAGTTTTGCTTTAATTAGTAGTTTTCAAATTGAAAAGCAAAGAGTTATGTTTGATTTCTCTTTTAAAAAGAGTTTTCTGTTTTTAAAAATAAAATACAGTATAAATTTATATTGTATTTCATTTTTAAAAACAGAAAACTCTTTTTAAAAGAGAAGTCAAACATGCTCTTAGTTCTCTAGTTTGCATTTCTTAATTATTATAAAATGCTCTTTATCCCTTGCTCTTTCTTCCTTTACTTTTGTGCCGCCTATTGGTCCATGTGTTTCAGTATTATATTATGACCTATTTGTTTGTTTTATCTGAGGTTATTTATTCTTAATTGTCTATTTATGCAGATTGGGAAATCACTTGTTGTTTCTTGGTTGAAGGATTATCCACAGTTTAGATTAGTGACAATTGCAATTCAGAGATCTGGCTTCAAGGTTTGTACACTCAATATTTTAGTCGTCATGAACCAACTCTCCCAAACGCTTAATCTGTTTGATGAAGAAAAATGAATGAATTTATTACACCTCTAACATTAGCTTATAATATTCGAGTTTAATTTTGATATACCATCAGTGTACGTTGTTAGCGAATTAGAATACACCTTAGATATGACTTTTAATGTAGTTATCACAAAAGTTAACAACTTTTAATATGTCAATCTATGATTGCTTGATAGTACACAAAATTTTACGTGGTTAGTGCATTCATATTAAATTCATAATATTTTTAAGTTGTTGAGTCTTTTGAAGTTTATTTTCTAATGTTCCACTTGTTTTTATCTTTTATGTTCTTTTGGAATTCTTGATTCTGACGACCCAAAGTTCACAGAATGGAAAGTGGGTCATGAAAAAGATATATACTTCAAACACTACTGTAATAGGGATGTATAAGTTTGATTGCCTGTTAAATCAAACAAGTATACTTTCTGATGAAAATCCATCTTTGTGTTGAGCAAGATTATTGAGCTATACCAAATCAGAAATCGTCAGTAGTATGGATGTCTCTTCTTTAGTGGCAGTGTCCTGCATGCAATGGATAATTTTCTTACCTCCACCTGTCCATCTTCCTAGGAGACCTTCAAACAAAACATGTACTGTTCTAATTGTTATGATTAATATTTCATGGAACTGTAAGTGTATCAGTAAGAAGGGAAACTAAATATCCACCACTAACCAACATGTGTCATTTGACGTTCTGCCTACCCTCAAGTATATCTGTCACTCAGTCAATTGCTTACTTCTTGACAATTACTCATCATTGCTTAAGAAAAGCTATTGTTGTGCTTGATCTTTGCTTAGAACTATTTTTTTTTGTCCTCAACTGAAGGATATCTGACTGTTTTAATTTCTGTGTCTGTCTTTACAGATCGTGTTACTGCTTCGGCTTGCTCCATTTGTACCATTTAACATGTTAAATTACTTCCTGTCTGTTACTCCTGTTCCATTAGGTGTATACACGCTGACTTCCTGGTTAGGAATGATGGTATTGTCTTCATCCCTGATCAATTATCTATAGGGAACTTTACTGTTAACAATGAATTTCTGTTATTATGCCTTTCAAAATTGTTGAGCATTAATTGGATTTCTTGTTGGCAGTCACTTGTTGCATCCGATTTATTAAGAACAAGGATATCTAAATCATTTTTAATTGAGATACGCATATGATTAATAGAAAACAGGATGCCTTTGGGAGTTATTCCTGTTCCATCAGAGTTGTTCCTTATGATTGTTTGTAACAATGATTTATGTATGTTTCCACATTGAAGCATGTTGGGCATGGGAAGATAGCAGATATCGTTAAACTTTAAAATGATCTACGAAAAATGTTGAAAATTTGAGATCAATTGATTTAAAAGGAAATTGTGTTAATATTGGGTCTACAAATGGTTACCAATCCTGTGTGTTTTATATGCTAGCTACTTAAGTTCTACGAAGATAGTGCATTTAATTAAGCTATTAAGAAAATGAACTCTTAAAGTTTTATCAAGTTTGATGTTTGTAGACTTGTATAAGTTGTATTAGTATATTAGTATCTGTCTCAGTTTTTATTTTGAAATTACATTTTGCGAAGCATATTTCTTGGTATATAATCATTTAGTTCAACTTCTCCTTGTCAAATAACGCCTATATTTTAAGGGCCATCGTTGATATGACAAGTTTTGTTTAACTAAACAAGTAATGCCCTGTTTCCATTTGAATTTATGGTAGAAACTGCACAGTTTACACCTTAAAATAAGGTCTATGTGTTATTATAGCTTACTAGATGGCAGTCCAGCTCATGCAGTATCTTAATACCCCCAGTATTGTTATTGTTGCAGCCAATAACACTGGCACTTGTATATGTTGGAACTACATTCAAGGATCTATCAGATGTGACACAAGGTTGGGGCGAGTTCTCAAAAACTCATTTGGTAAGAGATGCTATCATATATCCTGATATGTTTTAGCCTTTTAAGGGCTTTTAGCTTCTTTTGCCAATGGAACATCTAAGAAGCCTCTTTTGAATGCAGCCTTGGATCATTGTTGGCCTGGTGATATCTGGTAAGTTATGTTGTTTCCCACATATATTTTGAAATATGAAACTGGCATTCTTTATCCAGAAGTTGTTCACTCTCTCCCTCTCTCCTGCATGTCTTGTTCCTTTTTCCTTTGCATGTGAAGGTTGTGTAGTTTTGTGTGTCCCCAGCTCAGTGCTGCAAAGGCTGGGCGCTGGGCTGCAGATGATTGGCCGAGTGCTTAAGAATTGCATACTCTGTCCATGGGCTCTATTTTTGGCTTTTCTGATGCCACCTCTATTAATTCTGAAGAGGCAGACAGAAAGAAAATGACATATATCTAAGCAGGCAAAAGAGGAATAGCACACTATCATTTATCGCATATTATATATGTATAGTCATTGTCTCAATTCTTCACTTGGGGCTTATATTGTTTTGTATTTTCAACAATATTTGGGAGTTTGGTGAGTTATGTCAGGAATAAAAAACTTCACATGTAGTAGTTCTTTTATTAACATGTTATTGTTATTTAGAATTAATATGTGTAAAGTAAATGTAATGTATTTCACAATTCGCATGGTAATTACTATAGAAATTTTATATTAGAGAACCATAGTTGATTATAGACCTTAATGATAGTTGAAATTCTTGAGCTTGGAGAAGTGGTTTAAGACCTAGAGTTCATTATTTTCTCTAATTAGCCAGGCTGAAGTGTTATTTTTTGCTATGCACAGTGGTTTTGATGATATGGGTTACTAAAGTTGCCAAGTCTGCTTTAGATAAAGCTTTGGCTGAATGTGAAGATATGGATGGCACTGCATCTTCGCCAGAGCTCCCAATTGTCACTGAACCTTCAGTAGATCTCAGTCAGCCTCTCATAAATAAGACAAATCCGGATGAGGACAATCGTGAAAAGTTGAAATCCAGTGTGTAAATTCTTTCCCCCACCCCCACCTTTTACAGCCTTTTAAAAAAATGAGCTTAAGCAGTAGCTGCTACTTATTTGTGATTTGTACAGTTTGACATTAGAAATGTAGTTTGTGTCATAAATAGTTAGCTAACAGTTAGGATGAGGTCATTGAATATATCTAACAGCAGAAAAGCTCATCATATGAACCATTCCTTATTCTTTCTGTTGGTTTGTACATTTTTACTCTAGATTGTGACTTGATGTTGGTGCTTTAATCTCTATACTTTTTGAACCTTGCACTTACAAATATTACTGTTTCATCCAATTACATTTTGTTCTTGCTTGGAATTTGATGGGTCGGATGGCTGGTGAATATTTTCCATTGCTTTGACTCGAACCACTCCTATCAATATTGCTATTGTTGGGATGCTTTTACGATGACAGGGGGTAGTATACTTGCAAGGACTCTTGACACTTAAGTAAGCATATTTACTTAGGGAGTTATGAGGGCAATAAATGATTTTATATTTAGCTTATGATCATTGAAATATCCCTGCTGTGTTGGAGTTTAGATCGTGATGTCCCCGAGCCATGTTTAGGTGGCACAGCGTTTCTACTGTAATGTGGTGTGGAGGCAAAAAATCGCCTTGCTAGTATCCAAAATGCTATGGCGTTTGTTCATCTGAGTTTGTCACCTTCTCATTGGTAGCATTCTAGTGGCTTGTCAAGTTCAAGTGCCCCTTGTCATTGACTTCTTTCTGTAAAAGCAGTGTTTGCGTTGTAGGTCATGATCTGTCCTCATATTTCTCCTTGATTGTGGTCTATGATGGGGGTTGTGATTCGTCTACAAATTGCATGAGTCATTCTTTGGGACATCTTTCTTTGTTGGCGTGTAGCCCTCCTTTCCAAGGATAAATTTTAATGGGTGCAATATACCAATTTATGGATTGATATTCTCACTAAATGTTTCTCTAACTTTCACACTTTCCATGGTTTTATACCTCTAACATTCTATGTTTGTAATATTTTAATTTAGTAAATATTAGTATTTTTACGGTTATATCTCATAAAATAAAGAAAAATAAAATATTATTACTATTATTTTTTAGTATTCAGCTGAGTGAAATAAAACTTGATTGTTGTTGTATTATGAATATTCAACTTTCTAAATTTTTTCTTTAAATATTACTTTATATCTATATGTTGAGAAGACCAATAAAAGTCCTAATAATCCGAGTAAATCATATGAATGGTAGTTCAGTTGTGAGAGAAAAAGGAAGATCAAGAAAAACTATAAACAAAACAATTAAAAATGACTTAGGTGTCAATAATTTGTTCATAGACATAATTTATCGTAGTGTTATAATATTATTTAAGTAGCCGATTTCATCGAGGAGAAAAGGCTTTGATGGTGCTTCTTGTTTACTGTACATTTATGAAGCAAAATAACTAAATAAATTGTGTAGACAAATGATTATTAGCTTTGCAATATTATATTTTTGTACAAAGTCTGACAAAATATGACTGGCAGCGACCAACACTAACTACGATGTCAATGTCTTGTTCCAACTAACAGCCTCAGGTCATACTCGTTACCAGGTACATTATCTCAGCATGATAAAAAATAGTCAAGAGCTAAATGCATTCCGAAGAGAAAAGGAGAACATTTGTTGTTGTGGGGAATGTTATTTATTCAACTTGGATTAAATCAAAAGCAACCGGCCCTGGTGATAAAGATGAGGCAACATCATATGAGACCCCATCATGAACCTTTGAATGCCTAGTACTGTTGCCAACAGCATCTTTTTCGTTCCCAAAGAAACAAAGGAAAAGCTTTTGTCTAGCAATTTTATATAATTGTGTCTGCCAGTAATAAACTTTACCTCTTGTTGCTGAATCTTGGGGTTTAAGGGACCCTACCAATTCCTTGATGAAAGGGCTAACAATATTCTGTCATTGTGCCACAAGTTCTGTTCCATACCATCAGACCTTGACTCTCAAAAGAACTAACCTTTATCACAAAAAAGCTTGTATATACAATAAAGTTTCTAAAACACAACAGCATATATTGCTTGAAAGCTTATGATCAAGAACAAGAAGCAGTTGAAGTCCCTCATGGGGAAAGTGCAAGGTTGTAGCCTTGTATCTTTTGGTGGCTGCTTTGATAGCTGTCGTGATCACACGCAAGGATCGGGTCAAGGGACAAGGATATGGAACCTCAGTGATAGGCCAGTGGAGCTGCAAATAAGGGTGGGATCAATACTGAAGAAGATTCACACATTGAAGGCAGGATCTTCTAAAAGACTGAAATGTAAAAGCATATATAAGGCATATATGCCTGCTAGGAGTGGTGGGAACTTGAAGAGCTTATTGTATTACTATGATGAAACTTGCCACCCTTATATTTGGATTCATGACACAGGTTGTCATTCCTTAAGGATGGGTAAGCAGCAGTACATTAGCCTTGAGGATCTCAGGGATTCTTCTGAGATCAGAATCTTTTGGGATCATCAGAGAGGCTCCATATCGGTTCGTAAGAGAACAAGGCCTGATTTCTGCTGAATTTCAACTTTACTCCAACCTTACTTCTAAAGTAAAGTTTGTTTGTCACAATTTTTCCCATGTTGTGTGCTACAATGGTCCATGATCATGTCTTTAATTAGTTTGTTAACAACATAAGAATGAATTTTTTCGTGCTCACACTTGATGTGATCTATATTATAATGTAGTTCTTTTTCCTGTTTTGCAGGCAGTTATGTATTAATAACCAGCCCAAAAAATGATTTATCTATATTATAATAAAATTTGAGTTTGTTATTTTTGGCATGTAAATAAGATATGACAACACTCACTGGTTTTGTGATCACCCTTCCATCCTTGTATGATCACCAAAAATTGCAATTATTAAAACAAACCCATTTAATTGGATTAATCGAAATTGAAATAGGATCTAGAGTTCACAAAAAGCATGCATCAAGAGACACACGTCGAAGGACCTTCTGCTCAATCACTAGACAAATGCATTTCAGATTTCAGTCCTCTTGCTTCTCTTCATCGCTTCCACCATCAAATGTGTTGAGAGTAGCTTATAAAGCTACGAAGAATGAATAAACTTAGACACACTAAAACAACAGTTCATCCTAATATTAATCATTCATAACAAATTATATAATTTGAATAATAAATACGTCACCTATTTATGATTGCATGATCGCTTAATGGTCTGATGCTTAACATTATACAAAAAATGATGAGTTTTGTACTTCAACATATTTACCATTATGCAAAATTTAGCTGTCAATATACACTGGTATTGTACAATCTATGAAGAAACTTATTTTTTGTTTTAATGAAAAGGTACATATAATCATGATATGAACTATACATTAGTAACAAATAAATTTAAATATTTATTAGTAACAAACATGGACTATATATTTCTTGGTGATATTATTTTACTATATAAAGTGTCAAACAGATTTAAGTCGGTTTCTTGAAAAAATTCCGAAAATAAAATAGTGAAGAGCATGTCATTTAAAAAATTTAATGGTCGCAACCACAAAAAGAATATGACCTGAGGCCGGCTTAGTCGAAAAACAAAAACATTATATCGAAAGGCCACTTAACCATTGCCTACCATAGCACTAAACAAAGGAACTCAAATTCATTTATTAATTATAGTTAAAAAAATTATTTAATAACACAACATATACTGATGACAGAAGGCCAACATACACACGGTTAAATATTAAGTTATTATTTGTTGAGCTATTAATATGGAGTGGTGGACTTGTTTAATAATATGGAAGAAAAGAAGTGAAGGGAAAGTAAAGTAATAAAAAAAATGGTGATTGTTGGAGGAATGAAAAATGTGAATAATACCAAAGGCAACGGCAATTCCTAAGAAACATTGAACAAACACTTACTGAAAACAGCAGTTTTTGGCTGTTGGTTTTGAGGTGAAATGGGAGTTTCATGGAGTAATGCTAACCGAAGAAGAAATACTTACTTTGAGTTTGAGCATTTCCCACCACCCCCTTTCTATTACTCTCCCCCACCATTTTTGCCACCGCCGCAAGGTTACTTTTTTAATTCTTCTTCCACCACCAGCTATGTGGGCCCTTCTTCTTCAAATCATCCTTCACCGCCACCCTATGTTCACAATCAAACGGCCAAGAAGATAAGGAACAATGTCAACTTGCATAAGCACACTCTGCGCCTCCACATCGATCCTCACAACCCTCATCACCACTTAATTTCCTTTGTTTTCGATGCCCTCTATAATGGCAGGTATTTCCCACAATGTATTTTTCTGGGATCTGTTAACGTTATTCCCAACTGAGAGTGTAGTTAGAATAGAATAGTCTTACGTCCTTATGCTTTTAACATTCCCTTAAAAATAATATCTACTTACCACACTAGTTTAATTTTCTATCATGAATAATGTGTACTTTGTTTAGATACAACCTGCTGCTGATATAGAATTTCTTATATGAATGTGTGAAATTAGTTCATCGGCAATTAACTTACATATGCATCATTATGTATGTCACCCAGTACAGCAATTTTCACAATTACATATACAACTGTTTGCTCTGATTATGAGAAGTTTCATTTGAAAGTATCAAAAACTATATTGCATTGGCTGACTTACCCTGACAAATCCACATGCCAATGAAAGAACTGCTGGAAACCATGAATTTTGGGTTAGACTAGAAATCAATTTGATTGATTGATTGGTTGTGTTTTGAATTGATTGCTCTCAAAATAGAATGTTTGAAGATTGAATGAATATCAAATGTATATAATGGAACATTTTTTGTTTGCTTAAGTTTTATACTCTTTCATTTGAAATGGGCAGCATTGCGATCTTCTACTTCGCCAAAGAAGAAGAAAAATGTAGGTTTATTCCGCTATATCCTGATGTGTTTGAGCCAATCACATTCCCCTTTCAACAAGGAGCTGGCCAGAAATTTTGTCAGCCTTCAGGAACAGGCATTGACCTAGGTTTCTTTGAGTTGGATGATCTTTCTAGGCCCTCATATGGAGAAGATGTATTTCCCCTTGTAATATGTGCAGAAACAAGTTTGAGAACTCCTTTGACAGATGAAAATGCATCCCCTCATATGCAAATAACTCAAGCTGTCTTAGATACAAACAATGGTATTCCTTTCCAGGTAAAAGTAGTTAGGCAGATTCTGTGGATTGATGATGTTCGGTACGAGCTGAGAGAGCTATATGGAATAGAAAGTTCAACAGCCGCAGGTTTTGACAATAGTGATCCTGGGAAGGAGTGTGTAATATGCATGACCGAACCCAAAGACACTGCTGTCTTACCTTGCCGACATATGGTATGGTTACTCTCTTGTCAAGCCTACTTATATGTGGAGTTGATACTCAGTTTCAAGGAATAAATACATCATCTTAAGGTCCTAATTTGATGATTCATGCACACAATCTTACCATTACTCTGTATCTGAAAAGGTTTTGCTTATAGAAAAGCAAGGTTATCATTCATATTTCTAAAAGACTACAATGGTTTGCTTGGTGATCCTTATATTACCTTAATATTTCTTTTCTTCCTTTCCTGCATTCCCACCTTCAATTGGGTTTCAAAGTTTTGATCTCTCTAATTGTTATTTAATCATTTATGTCTTATTTAAAATTGTACAACACAATGTTATTTGTCAGCACTAGAATATACCAGGGGAGATATTGGTGCCTAGTGCTTCGTTTCTTCCTGGTTAGCAGGACTAGAATAATTGTTCAGTAGTGTGTATATGTGTGTTTTGCTGCTTTCTATTTATTTTTCTATTTTATTATTCTCAGATTACATCTGTTGTATTTTCCAGTATATGTGCAGTGACTGTGCCAAAAATTTGCAGCTTCAATCAAATAAATGCCCTATATGCCGTCAACCAATTGAAGAACTTATAGAGATCAAGATAAACAATGGCAATCAGTGACATGTTTTTGCCTGATGTAAAGCTGAATTGCGTGGTATCTTGATTTTCTTTTTGTAAATTGCAGTCAATAATCTGTTTATAGTTCATATGTGATATGATCAAAGGAAAATTAAATCATATGTGATTTTAGCTGTACTGTAATTAAATATTTCTATAGTGTCATCAGTATTGTACTGATGATTATTTTCTTAATTTTTCTGTGAGTGATACTTAAGAGAGGATCATTTGTAGGCCTTGTTTGGTAGGTGGATCCTCCTTTATGTATCTTGAGGGTGAAGGTTCCCCTAATGAATAATGTTTGAAAATTAAGAAAGGTTTAATTTAATCATAAAAAGCTAGTGTTGAACATTCTTGCACTTCCTTTATGATCTTCACATGGGGGGATTTAAAAATTTAAAATTTCATATATTAAATGCCTTTTGCTAAAACAGACAGTTTGTCTCAAGAGTGAGTGGCGTTGGGAGTATAAAAGGAAAAAAAGAAGAAGTTGCTATGTGTTAAATTATTTTTGTTCTTTTCACTAACCAGAAACGGCTAATCTTGCCATACAAAGTACCTTTTATGTAGGCACAAAATCAGATCTTGGAAGCTTGGAGAGGTTTTCAGATGTCAACTTTTGAACAAATTAAGAAGCAAAAGCAAAACAGATGTAACAAGCCCTTCTGTTTTCTCTTTATTTTATTTGAAATGTGTTTTCCATTTTGGCTTTTACCGTTCCAATTTGCAACGAATATGTATTCCTCAAGATCGTTCAAACATTAACAATTTCATCCTTTCATGCATCTGCATCTCATTTCAGCCGCATGACTGGCCTTTGACCCCTGATCATATACATTACACGGTATTATAGTTAAGTAATATGAATAAGCCAATTGCTTATTTTTCATACTTTACATGGATTCCTAAAGAGATAAACGGGAATCTGTCGTTAAGAGGATAAGAGGGTAACAGATTTTGATGCAAAAAACCTTCTGAGCTACAGATTTTAGGCCGTGATTGTTGAGATGGAAAATTGATAACGAGGGAGTCAGATCAAAAGAAAAAAATTGTTTTATTCTTCAGATTGAGATTGGACTCAACTTCATGTCAAAAAATTGCATTACATATAACTAGTATAAGCAGAGATATCGTGCAGGTACAATAGAAACTGCAAAGTGTCTATAAATCAGATGGTTCATAATATTTAATGAGCTTATAAATTTAATTTTTGAATATAGTAAAATTGTGTACTCTAGAGATCGCCTATTTCAACTGCAGAGGATCATAACCCAACTAGATAGACGTTATAGCTTTAATAATCATAATTCTTTCATTCAAGTGTTAAATCGGCTAATGGAAGAAGCTGTAGTTTCTGACCAAAAAATCTTTTGTTTCAAAATTCCTACCGACGTAACCTTCAGTTTAGAAAATGATAACTGAAGAAATGGGATTTTGAAGAAACTTATGGTTGTGGGCATCATGAATCACGATGATATTCCGTGCCCGCAATACTCACTATTGGCGTGGTAAATGGCCTTTCTTGCAGTACACTTCTCTACCTTAGTTAAGGTGATTTATAATTGCCACTCATTTTATTCCATATTAAAAAAATGTATTTATACCCGATGATAAAGAAGCCATTTGGGCCAAGCCACAGAAATTAAAATAGTCTATAGATCATATTCATCCATCTTCATTTTATTTTTCTTTCAGAGAATAACTTTTACTTGAGGCAAGATGAGAGTGCCTTGGATATTATAGTTAAACGGAAAAGCTTTTTCTTTGTGAAACACATGGTCTCCTAGTACATGCCATTAGTTCTCACTGGAGACAAGCCCGGGTGACTAACACTTAACATACACACGTTATTGACCTTTTCAGAGTTATGGTCCAGCAAAAGAGAAAAGTTAAAAAATCCATCAAACAGTAAGGTACCACCGAACCATCCAAAGTTCATCAAAACTTCCCTACAATTTCACGACACCGACCCAATATATTTTGGTATCTTTTTACGATGAAAGAACTAGAAAGTTAACTGGTCCAAGGCCTCACAAAATGCCTGAATATACAGACCAAGGAAAACGGAGAAATCTAGATATTCATCTGTCCTTCAACTGCTGGCTACCATTTAGCATTTGCTTTCTTGTTATGTCTAACTGTTTGGAATGATGGTAATAATTAAAGTGTGTGCATGATCTCTTCCAACTTCCAAGTAAGTAGAACAAAGGGTTGATAGTACAAGCATCAAAATTTTCCCTTGTGGTCAAAACTTACTCAACACCTACACTTCATTATTAATTTCCTATACCATACTAAAATCTAAAGCTATAGAAAAAGAGGCCATGTGTGAGATGCAACTGCAACTGAAATTGTACTCTTCTAGGTGAGGCTCAATAAATACTCCCTCCTCTCAGTGTGCAAATTCATATTCTCTCTTATCAATCACTGTCCAAAGACCATGTGGTTGATCATGTGAAGCCTTCAACATAAATAGTAATGCCTTTGCATGGCTGCCCAAGTCATTCCCCAATGGAACCATTGGTGACAGAATCCGTAAAAATCATTTTCCAAATATAGATACCCCTATTAAACTCTCAAAAAATTACCCATCATTCCTTCACTTGTATAAAATTTATGATATCATAGCTGTGCCCGTCATAATCATATATACCAAAGTTCTTTTTCTCTTCTTTTTTTTTTTTCCGGGTGGGTTGGATTTGGTGGTCTTTGAGGTCAGAAAATGTCCACAAGACATCCACCATAACCAGTGAGAAGATATTAAGCTCTTTTGCTTCAAGGCAAACCGGGAGAATTGATGTTTAATGCATGGTTGGAAAGGCTATTCTTTTTAGAGAAATTATTATTTTTTAAATAAGTAATTATTTTTTTAAAAATAAACTAGACCAAATACTCACTTAAAAAAAGCTTCATATATTAAACACATAAATTAACTGACAAAAAATAATTTCAACTTCACTTTTAATTTCAAGTTCAAATTATAGTAAATGAACAATGTTAAATTCTGGAATAAAAAGTTTTATCAGTCATAACATCCTAACTGATTCAAATAAGATCGTCTATAATTAAAATTAAATAAAAATGGTAGTCTAGATAAAAAGAAATATAAGAGACTTGATAAACTAGTTATGCACAACCAAGACTCGTAAAAAAAAAAGGGCCCATGCCTTGTTATAATTAAAAATAATAATAATGATGCTGATGTCTCTTTCTTGGTACCAATGGCAAGGAAACCAATTTGCTATATTTCCTTTGTCAATACCGTTCAAATACTCTTTGACGGGTAAAGTGACATGTTCAAAGAGATAAAGGGGAAATAAAAGGGAGAGAGTCACAAGGACTTGATCACAATTTAGGCTTTTAAGAATGACAACAATAATTTGCTAGGAGAAATTCAAGGACAAAATGAAGAAAAAAACAAGAAACCTGGAACGTGATTCATCAGTATCCAGAGGGCTAGCTAGTTTTTTGGTTGCTTTCTTTCACCTAATTTGCTGTTAAAGTAGGGCATGCATGATTTAATCAGCCTAGCTTTATTTTTAGTTGCAAACATGACCTATATGTCTATTTACTTTTTGAAAGCCCATAAAACGTGACCAGTTGCAACTCCGTTTTCATTTCACACAAGTTTGGCACCAAAACAAAGGAAAAAGACCCATAATTTCTGCTAGTCCCACAGTATTCTATATGCGGCGGTTTTTACCTTTACTACCGAAGAATAATTATAACATTGTTATGTGTATTTGTTTTTTCTCCTTCTGGAATAACATACATAACTGTCTTCCATTAGGGTGAGGCCACCCTTCAGATAAAACATAGAAAATCTCTTTTTTTACACGGAATCTGTTTGTTAATAAGTAAGCATCAACAAGGGACAATTCCATGTTCCAACATTTAATCCTTTATCTTTTGGCACATAAACCATTTAAATGCTTAATACAAGGCGCAATGCACTTACTCGTAATAAAATCAAGTGTGTTTAATTCTGTTTATTTTGGATAATTAAGTTAACAGAGAGAATTTTTAAATATCAAACTACATGTCTACCAAAACATAATTGCGTATTTAAAGCACTATTCAGCCTTATTGATAAAATTAATAGGTTTCTGAAGGTAAAGACAAAAGAGAAAAACTTAATTGAGGCCCTAGACTTGGGAATAAGAATAGAAGAACAAGTTGAAGCCTAGAGTATAGACAGAAACGAAGTTATTGGATGGTAGAAAAAATTGTCTACTGTTGGATAATGATGTTAGTAAATGCGGAACTACCATGACCTAAGTATTTAATGTTATTTCAAAGGGAATTGAGTACAAGTGTTTACTTGTGTTTGATAATGACGTTAATCAGTACAAACAATTGTATATGATGTATTTTAGAAGTGTCAAATCCTTACAAGCAACAGCGTGAATCGGGATTCTTGTATACCCCAGTATTTCACTCATAATTCCAGTATTTAATATTCATATTTTCTTTACCAACAAAATTATGTAAAAGTATATGATATATGTTCATTCCTACAGAATTTTCATAGGATAGTTACAATAAACTATTAATGGATATATACTGTTCTGAAAGAAAATAAATGTAACTAGTGTACTTAGGATGAAAAATATTGATTAAACAAAATAAAATTAAATATTTTTATAAAAAATATATTCTTTAAATATACCTTTACACTATTGTTTAATCATAAATTACTATATTAAATTATATTCATGATATATTTTAATTAACTAATAGTATATAATTTTACATTGATTATGTACTAAAATATAAATTTTTAATTAAAATGTAATAATAACATAAAAATATTCTATATTATTTGATAAAATAGTGAATTCTTAGAAAATCAATTTTTTATTTTAAAAATTAATGTAATCATTTAAAAGTCTTATGGTAGAGTGGACTGGACTCAAATTACGTACTTCTGGTCAATGGATTGATTATATATTGATTTCAAACTAAAAGCAACAAATGTTTTTTTTTTCTCTCTGTTAATTTTTTCTATTTTTATTCTGTTCAATTCTCGTGCATCAATGTTTTTAATTGATTATATAATTTTAGTGACTGTTATTATTTTGGTGATAAACTGTGTCAGCTCTCCTAATTAAGAAACTGCAGGCAAACTTTTAATGATTGTGGGCAACGAATTTATTAATAGACTAAAGTCAAACTAAATTAAAGCCAGCAAAAGATTTTAATTGATTGAATAATTTTACTCACAATTATTATTATTTATTTATTCATTTTGTAATAATCTATGTGCCCTCTCTTAAATACACTATTATATTAAGTGTTCATATATTTAATATTTTACTAAAAAAATACACACATTATTTATTTACTCGTGGAAGTAATTATAAATATTTCTATAAAATAATGTTCATCATAACATTTATTAATGAGTAATTTATTAATATTTATCTTAACTACTAAACAGTGCCTTTTACTAATATTACAATTAAATGAGAATGACACTGTTTCAGATAAGATGAGCATCTCCCCCACCAAATTTCTATAATGCATTTTCATTGTATGCCTAAAGTGAAATAAATTTTTGTTAGGCTAATGAAATAATGGAATTCACCCAACAATAGATAGATGTAATATATAATTGAATCAATAAATATTTTTTTATCTAATTTATATTTTATTTTGTATTGACTAAACCAGGGTGTTTAAAAGCAAATTTCCATGCACTTGTAAAAACAGTAGTAATAAATGCTGAATAAATTTGTTGACCGGAATATATTAGTTAATGCATGTTTATATTTTAAAAATATAATTAAATAAAAAATTATCAAAGATTATTAAAAGATAGTTATTTTTAAAAAAACACATTAAAATAAACACGCAATTACTTTACTAAAAAATTTAAAAAGCCAAAATATAAGTCAAAATTATTGTATTAAAAATTCCCGAGGCTGCAATCTTGCAGGTAGATTCAGGTAAACTTTTTGGAAACGCTGAAGTAGAGAAGTAAATTAAGTGAGTGATGGTAGGAGCAGGGTAAATGTACCATAAAGCAGTTATAGAAAAGATAATTTACAAGTCAGCCACCTCCCAAAGAAATGTCATTAAATTAATCTTATGAACCCAATTGAAGTTAAAAATTCTGACAAAGCTAGTTCATATTTGGTGATAATTATTAGTGGGAGATGCATTTAAAAAAAACAAATCTCTCGTGAGATATAGTCACATATTCTCTCTCCTCTTTCCTACAGCCATTTATGATATTTTGAGCATCCCCACCTCAGAGTCTTTAAGCCAAGGCAAGAGAGAGAAAATCAAAACCCAAGTGGGGTTAAAGGTAGATTCTCAGGGAAGCCACACTTCCCACATGGCCTCGGTTATTACTCCTTTGCAATTACAGTTACAGAGTCTCCTCCGTAGGTATAGATGAGATGGCCTTTCCTCGCAAAAATACCAATAAATAAAGGCACCAAACAAAGATCCAACTCTCTCTTGGAGCACCATTCTCTCTTCTCTCCTTCTCCCATTCACTACCCTTCACTCTCTCTCTTTCTCTCTCTCTCTCACTTCTTAGCCACCCTCTCTCTGCGACTCTCCTCCTCAGAGACTCACAAAACCATTTCCTTTCTGTCTCTTATTCTCTCTTGCTTAGATCTATCTCGCCCTTTCTCTATTTTTCCTTCATTGTCACAAGTTTCCCCCTTGTATTCCATTGGTGGAGCAGTGAGACATGAGTAAAGAAGAATTCTTGAAGATACAGGTAATTAGTCCTCACTGTTTACTTCTTAATAGCTGTGCTTTGTTTTGAACATTTCAGATAAAGTCACGAGTCCTGTCCCTGTTTTTTTTTTTTTATTGTTCACTGCGAAACTTCTCTCTGTTCTGTTTGGGATTAAGGGATTGCTTGTGCATGCAGAAATGTGTTCTTAAAGTGAACATACACTGTGACGGTTGCAAGCACAAAGTGAAGAAAATCTTGCAGAAAATTGACGGTACATAGCCATTGTTATTTGTCCTATATAAAATTTCTGATTCGCATTTGTTTTTTTTATTTTTTGTAAGAACAAAAAGTCGGTGCTTTTAATCTGTTGTCGGACGGAGAAAACAAAATGTGAAGTTGTGAATGATGTGTTGGGTTGATTAATTACAGGGGTGTTCACGACGGAGATAGATGCGGATCAAGGGAAGGTGACGGTTTCAGGGAATGTGGACCCCAACGTTCTCATCAAGAAGCTTCAAAAATCAGGGAAACATGCACAGCTATGGGGTGGTGCACCCAAACCCAACAACAATAATAACCAGAACAACCTTGCCAACCAGTTTAAGAACATGCAAATTGACAAAGGTGGGGGAAACCACCACCACAACAACAAAGGTCAAAATCAGAAGGGTGTAAATAACCAACCCAAGGGCGGTCAACAAGGACCGAATCCTCAGCAACAGCTGCAGCTCCAACAGCAGCAAAGGCTTCAACAGCAGCTTCAGCAACTTCAGCAGATGAAAGGGTTGCAAGATCTGAACCTGCCTCAATTCAAGGACCTGAAGGTACCCACTCAGAACCCCAATGCCAAAGCCGTTAAGTTTGATATGCCCGAGGATGATGACGACTTCACTGACGACGATTTGGACGACTTTGAGGATGATGATGAAGACTTTGACGACGAGTTGGATGATGAAATGGAGGAACTTGCTCCGAATAAAATGAAACAACCCCCCACTGGGAATGGCGCACAAATGATGCTGAATGCTATGATGAATGCTCAGAAGGGTGGCAATAATGGCGGTGGAGGAAACGGAAAGAAACCCGGTGGACCTATTCCCGTTCAAGTGCATGGCATGGTTGGTGGAAATGGAGGAAAGAATGGTGGAGGTGTTGGAATTAATCAGAATCATGGTGGAGGTAACAAAAATAAAAATGGAAGTGGCATACCAGAGGTTAAAAATGGTGCAGGAGGAGGAGGAAACAAAAACGGTAACAATGGAGGGAACAACAACAACAATGGGGGTAAAAAATGTGTCCCAATGGATGGGGGTGGTGTGAAAGCTATGATGATGAACAATGGATTCCAAAACATGGGTGGTCCCCATGTGATGTCTGGGGGAAATGTGGGCCCCATGCCTAACATAAATCAAATGGGAATGTCTAACGTCCCCGCGGTTCAAGGCCTCCCGGCTGCCTCTGTGAATGGTGGTGGCGGTGGTGGGTACTTCCAAGGTGCAGGACAGGATGCGATGCCTGGAAACCCTTACCACCAACAACAGCAGCAACAACAGTACATGGCAGCTATGATGAACCAACAACGCGCCATGGCAAATGATAGATTCCAGCCAATGATGTACGCCCGCCCACCCCCTGCTGTCAATTATATGTATCCTCCTTACCCCTATCCTCCTCCAGATCCATACACCCACTTTTTCAGTGACGAAAATACTTCAAGCTGCAATGTTATGTGAACAAACCTGCAAATGGATGCTGCCGTCACTGTTGCAAATCAGTTCTTAATTGTAGTATGCTTTTCAATTTTTCTTCCCATCCTAAGTTAAATTCACCATAGGGACTAGTTTATAGATTTTATAATATATTATTATCATAAGTTTTTGGGTAGTATTATTATGATAATGTCTATATGTTGGAAACAGGAATAAAAATTTGACAAGAAAAAAGGATATGAAGAATTGGATGTGACCATAATTCTCTATCTCTTGCTCATTCATTTCTCTCACCAAGTCGTGGTTATTTATTTATTTTAATATAAATATTTAATCTCCTGTCATCTGTAGGCATTGACACCTGAGATATCGCTACGGTAAGATTTTCTCTCATGGATGTTTGTGTGGTGCGGTGCATCATACAGTGTGTTAGGCAATCAGCCATTGGGGGTCGGACCCACCAACCATTTTTCTAACCTATTGTGATTATACATAGTGGGGTGAATGGGCCATGCCCTGTCGCACATCATCCCCTTCCCACAATTTGAATTATTTAATATTTTGCAGCAAATGGCAATCTCTTGACTGTACCCAATTGAGGTTGTATCATTGGGGAGTAATAGTATTAATTGGAGTGATTTTGTGCTGTTTTTAATTAAAATTAAAAGTCACGGGACTTTAAAAATTAAAACTTGGAATATTTATCAGAGATAATGTGTATGATACTTACTCCTCTGCACCTCTGTTTTGTCGTATCATCACATATTCTTCTGTTATTTGGTAGCTGGAATATTTCTTTCACGACATCAGCTAGGTGGTGTAAAAGGAGAGTGAGTGACGTAATGATGTAGTATAATTGAAGTTATAGCTAATGATGTTTAGGGTGGCTGAGTAGTATATAGGGAATGCAATGAAGGATGAAAAGAGTATATAGAGTGGAGTGTCAGAGAACAAGGCGGAGGAAGGTAGAGGACAGAGGAGCAATGGCTGTGTCCTGTGTGTATATTATCCGGAAGCGTAATATACAGCCGTAGATGGTGATGACAGAGACAAGTTAACTACTTTTTATTTTGAAAATCTAACGGCGTTGACACTTGGCCCCCACCAGTTTCGGCATTTAGTCTTTTCACCTCACAGGCAGAGAGAGTACATGACCAAGGAGTGGGACCCACTCCCATCATGATATGATGGGGTTATCCCATCCATCCATCCATCCATCATGAGTTATGAGTGATCTGATTGATGGGGGTTCCACACACACACACACATAGTTACCATGGATAGTAGAGTTGGGTGATGGAAGTGTGGGTGAATGGTAAGGTGCATGTGGGATCAGGATCCCCTCATTTAGTCATGTAACAGGAGGGGATCCGTTTCCGTGCATGTGGGCTTATCTTATGATTCACTCACTGTTATAGCGTGTTCCGTTAGATATATAAGAAGAGAAGACGTGAGTGTTTGGCTTGCTTACGCCAACTTGCACTACAGACGAGTGCTGCTGCCTGAGGCTGAGGAAGCATTTAATGTGGGGTATCTACTCTCTACTCTCTACACTCTACACTCTACTCGGGATCCAATACTTTGTTTGCCTACAAGGTTTGCTTTATTTCCATTCTTCTCACCCAGTCACATGAAAAATGCACCCACTTATACACTGTTTGGGTCTATGCACGCGGCCCCGAGTTACATAAACCTAACAAAACAATGCCCCTCTCTCCCAATTTTTTTTATTGCTTACTCCATTCCCACACATTTTCTGTTTTTATTTATTTAACCTGAGAAACAGGGCCCGGCACATTTAAAGATCATGATTATATTGATCTAAAAATTAATTCAATTGATAAATTTGAAAGTTTTGTCATGCGTGACAATATATGCCTGTCTACAGGAAAAAAAAATCAACTTTGTCAACTTCGTTAGCTTTCTCTTTTTTGGTTAATCTTCGTTAGCATTTTCAAAAATTCAAAAATATCACTGTTTACCATGTGCACCAAAAATAATCAATATAAAAGTGTTTTTATTAACATAATTGTTGGATGTTTAAAAAATTTTATAAATAACTTATAAGAATATTTTTTTAATTTTTTCAAAAGATTATCTCAAGTTTAAATTAATTACATAAATTATTATTTAAAAGTTTAATTAAATGATGTATCTAAAGCAACTTTTTGCATACTCATTGTTAATAATACATCATGCGCAAACTGCAATTTACAAATAGACTCTGGTATTCCAAAATTAAAATACAATGGTTAAGTAACATTAAACATTTTTCTTTTTAATTGGTTGAAAGTCAAAATTAGGCAGAAAGAGGTAATTTAGGTGAAGAGATAGCATTTGATGTGTGAATGCATGCAGTAGAGGAGAGACAGCGGGAAGTTAATCATGGAAGATGCAGGGGTTCATGTTTGGTGCAGTTTAGCAGTACTTTTCCCTACTTTTATTGGCCCCTCTTAGTTTTGACCACAATGAAACCACATATGCCATCAGGTGGGCCCTTCTCTTTTGAAACTTATCCTAGAGACATATTTTTGCTAGGCAGCTATTACCTATCGCTGGGCTTCACTGGTTTTTATTAGGTGTTGCTATTATTTTTTTATTTGTATCATTATCGTCGAGGGTAGGATGGTAATTATCTATTATTTATTTTATTTCCAAGTTAAAATGTGGACGTGTAATCCTGAGTGAATGCTGTTCTCAGAGTAGGATGTTCAGAAACACCTTACAGCGCAATGGTTATTATAATTATAATATTTGTAGATTTAATAATTTATTTAAACATTTATATTTTTTGAACCAGGTTAACTCAAATCATTTCTAGAATTATGATTGTCCCAGGGCAAAGGGCAAATGTAACAGCAGTGTATAAATTTAGACTTTCAAAAAATTTAATATTAATTTAAATTATAAATATATTGTACTACTTACTGTTAATTTGTAAATCATGTGATTTTAAAAAGTGTATAAATTTTAATTTAGATAATTTAAAAAATAAGTTTAATTTTGATAATTTTTAAGTATACATTATTGATATAATTTTTTATATTGATTATTACATAAATTAACAATTTTTACTAGTATGACAACATACAATTGAGTAATAATATTTAAAAAATATCAACATATTTAAATTAATTTATTAACTATATTTATTTTTATTTTTTTCTTTACAAGGAAAAGTCAATTCAAATACAAATTTAGAGAACACCTAAACAATAAAATAATTTTTTAATGAGGAAAAAACAAAGAGGTTGTTTTGTTTTTTCAGAAAAGCTAATCAGAGAACCTTCAACTTTGTTTTAAAATAAAGCTAGCTTCTTGTCTTTCTCTCGACTTTTTTGCTTCAAACCCAGCCTCTGAATTGAACCCACCAGTTCACGATGTCAATTGCTACCCTACTGTGGTGCTGGCTGCTCTACTTGTGTAATGGCTTGGCCCGGCTTTAACAAACAACAAACAATACAAAAATACGTTAAGGGTTGACAAGATATAAAACATGTGCAATGTTCATGGTGTTAAGGGTGGTTCATCAACAGAGGTTAATCATGTGTTCATGTTCAAAAGCTTTTTGATACCGAATCAAATCATCTATCGAAAAAATAAAAGAAGATATATTTAGCCCTTTAATCAAAAGGAAAGATAACTTGCGATGTTGAGTAAGTCCAACAACAAAAATCCGGTGACAGCAAGAGCTTTTCATATGACACTTTTCAAGCAGACACACACTGTTATGAATATTTGTTCACATGCATTTGGATTTCGAGAGTTTAACTCGACAAAGTGAATGCACAAATTCCTGTCAGAAATAAAAAAGTTTAGAAAACTAACAAAAATTACAAAGAAAAAGAAGCTTGTAGCGTTATTATTGCTTGATATTGTTGTTTGATATTTAGAAAATGTTAACTGTAAAGACAAAATAAAAATAAAAGATACTTCTTTTATCTTCAGTGTTTTTCTTTCAATTATAGTTAACATTCAAGGTCAGATTCTTCAGAGTCTAACAAACATTTTTTATATTACCTAGCCAAATTGAAATTAATGATATTCAAATTGTGTCATTGCCTTTGAACTCTTCTTAGTTAATTTCTCGTTGACTCCGCTAAATTCACTGTGATAATCTCTATTGATTATATAATTAAAACGATTAATGTCCTGAAATAAGAGGCCACAAGTTTTAAGAAATGAAAAATGAGAAAGGTGGTTACATAATTGATTGCATGAGTTGAAGGTGTAGTCATTAATTGGGGAACATGTGTTTGTGCAAATGGAATGGAACTTAGAACCAACTGGGAAGTGAAGGTTGAGCTCACACCACATTCCCAATTAATTTGGTCCATACTCCAATCAAGACATACACCCTATATTCCGACTCTATGTTTTCCAACTCACCAAACCCATCATCAATTAATTGAACATTGTTCTTATCATTTATATTCTCTCTCCATTTTTTTATTAAAAAAATAAATTAGCAGTGTTCTTTTAATATTTTTCTTAACTTTAATTTTTAATTAATACAAATATTTTAAAATTAAAATATAATAATCATTTTATATTTTTAATTACAAATATTTAGTTACTTAACTTCAATCTTAAAAATTAACTTTTCTTTTTGTACTTTTGAGTATTATTAATGAAATTGGAAGTGTAAACTTTTTTTTATCTAAATTTATGTTAAACCATATTAAATACAACGAAAGATGTTGATTAATGATTTTATATTTTCTTTACTAAAAGTGTGGTCAGGGTTTAAACACTTAAAAGTAAATTTTTACTGAAAAAAATATTATATTAAAACTAATAAATATTTTTTAACAAAAAATTACTACTACTGATTATTTAAATTCAATCATAAGAATTTAAGTTAATATTTTTTTAATGATTAACTTGATAATATATAAAAAATGTTTATATAATAATATTAGATTAAAAATAACAATATATTACAAAAATTAATGCATTAATAATATTAAATATTATATTTTTTATTAAAAAAACTCTTCATTGTCATCAATAATTATTGTTTTAGTGTATAATAAAATAAATAAATAAATATAAAAGTTTATAATATATATAATATTACAATATTAAATACATTTATAAGATTAAATGTTTACATTTTAAATAAAAACATTCTTATTTTATTACATACCTTCAAAATAAATTAAAATTTATTTTCTTAATTCAAACAATAATAACAATGATAAA